TCAATCCCCCCAAATTTTCAAACAATTGTTAATGATGAGCGGTTTTGACAAGCATTATCAAATTGATAAAAGTTTTCTAGTTTCTTCGTTAGCAAAGATATGATTGCCGGAAGTCATTATGTCAATTCCATAACTTTTTAATTCTCAGTAATGCTTACGGGATATTCCTTTGCCGTGAGTAGTATTTTCTACATTGGCAACAGTTAGGTCAATTTGATATTCTTTTTTTAATTGGGGGAGATAATTTTTAATGACTTGCCGGCCGGTTTCTCCAAAGATATCGCCAATGGTTAAGATTTTCATACTTATTAATTATTTATTTACGATCCAAATAAAAAAAGTGTTTTATAAATAAACTAATATATAATCATATGGCAGAATTAGCAAAAAAAAAAAAAAAACAGTATAGGGAGCAAATGAGGTCAGGCATTTTAAGGGCTTGTTAAAATAAGAAAATAAATAATAGAAAAGAAAATTTATAAATGTCATGGCTGATACAGCAAACCAAATAAAAATTAACGTACTGTTAAATAGTAAACCAAAAGCCGAGAACCTTTTGCGTCAATTTGCCGCGGCTTTTAATATTCCTTACACTAATCATAGGGTTGTCCGTGCCAAATTACAAAAAGAATATGAGAAAAGAGTTTTTCCACCTATAAATAATAGGATAATGGGAGAGATGCGAACAAGGCTGCAAAGTAAATGACAACAAGAAGGAAAAAACCCGAGTGGAGGAATTTTTGAGGCACAAGTAGTAATTGAATTTAACGAATGGACTAAATTAGGGAGAGATAAGGAACACCGCCGCAGGATGCAAGAACAACAAAGAATAAATACTTGTCATGATATAATTGAGGGCAAGAGCAAACCAGAAACTGATTTGCCGTCGGGTTTTGAAATGGATAATGATGGGAATAGTCAAAATATGAATGCGGGACCCAACACGGGCAATGCTCCTTGCTATAAATGTGGCAAAAGACAATCAACTGATTGAAAATACCGAAAACCGCCCAAAAACCAATGATGGTGTATTGATTGCTGAAATAAGGTTCCTAATTGTCCTTATCCTGGATGCTATAAAAAGGGTTGAAAAATATCTGCGGAAACCGGAAACGAAAGATTTTGTTCTGATAAACATCTCCAAGAATGACTAAAAGACAAGGAAAATCAAAAATCTCCAAGACCTAAAACAAGACAACAATATTTCCAAGAT